ATACTAATTCTGAAATTCAGGATGTGCTGTATAAAAATTATACAATGTTTAAAACAATTTTTTAAGTATATAGAAGATTGAAAATAAGTTTTAGAACTTATTCTTTGATGAAGAAATTTAAATCATATTAGTGTGTGTGTTTTTCTGATAGCTATCTACTTATATAAAAACCATGGGTGGTGCTCATCACATACAGACAAACAGTCTGTACTGAGCAGAAGGAAGTCAGTCCTACAGGGGTTGTCTTGGCAACGGCTGTGCCCTCCCCCAAGCTGTTTCCTGAGCTGTTTCCTGTAAGGGCGAAGTTTGAGGCAGGAACCCGACCTGGGAGCATGGAGGGAGATCTTTCTAAAGTGTGCCGCGCCAGCACGGGGTGAACCTGAGTGGGGCAGCTGAAAGGCTTAGAAAAGACAGACAAGAGAATGAATGCCGGGTCTCAGTGAGACACTGCTTCTCTGAGGGACAGCGACCACACCCACAGCCATGCCTTTATTTTATAGCGGATGCTACAAGGCAAAGTAAGGGCGTGACCAAGATGTTTACAAACATTCTCCTGGGTTTCAATCCTACTCAACTACATGCACCTGAACTCTATCAAGCCCACATCACTCAGGCATGTGGGGCCACGTGTTTGGACCATAGGTTCAAGCTTACAACTACAGCTGTTGGCTATAATTGTCCTGGGAGGGCCCTGCCCTCCAAGCTGGGACTTGCACGTGGCAATGAGAGGACTGTGCCCTCTCATCAGTCTAAGGCTGGAACCTATCCAAAACACTGTAGTGGCTCCCCACAATAAAGTTTTAATTCTGTTTCTTTGTTACTAATGTTGTGGCCCCACCCCATAACAAAGAAACAAAGGAAAATTTCCCCATCGAATCTCTGAATAGTATTATTCCTTTGGGAATGCCCTGTCATAAATTAAAATTGAAAGTGGGTGCAATCATCATGCTATTGAGAAATCTCAATAGTAAATGGGGTCTTTGTAATGGTACCAGATTTATTATCAAAAGATTACAACCTAACATTATCGAAGCTGAAGTATTAACAGGATCTGCAGAGGGAGAGGCTGTTCTGATTCCAAGAGTTAATTTGTCCCCATCTGACACTGGCCTCCCATTTAAATTGATTCAACAATGGTTTCCCGTGATGCCAGCATTTGTGATGACTATTAATAAATCACAAGGACAAACTCTAGACAGAGTAGGCATGTTCCTACCCGAACCCATTTTTGCACATGGTCAGTTATATGTTGCTTTCTCTAGAGTTTGAAGACCATGTGATGTTACAGTTAAAGTTCTAAGTACTTCATCACAAGGGAAATAAGTCAAGCACTCTGAAAGTGTTTTCACTCTTAATGTGGTATACAGGGAGATATTAGAATAAGTTTAATCACTTTATCAGTCATTGTTTGCATCACTGTTGTTTTTATATCATGTTTCTGTTGTTTTCATATCATGTTTTTATTGTTTTTATATCATGCTTCTGTTGTTGTTATATCCTTTTGTTACTGTTTATTTATTAATAAATTTATATATTATTTTCATATACATTTTACTAATTTCCTTTCACCTCTCACATTTCTATTATAGGGAAAGGGCAAATAGCAATGTTAAAATATCTCTGCTAATTAATTCCCTTTTTAAAAAAATATATTTTCTTGATTTTTTTACAGAGAGGAAGGGAGAGGGATAGAGAGTTAGAAACATCGATGAGAGAGAAACATTGATCAGCTGCCGCCTGCACACTCCCCATTGGGGATGTGCCTGCAACCAAGGTACATGCCTTTGACCGGAATCGAACCTGGGACCCTTCAGTCCGCAAGCCGATGCTCTATCCACCGAGCCAAACTGGTTAGGGCAATTAATTCCCTTTTAATGTGCACGAATTTTGTGCACCAGGCTACTAGTATTATACTGTTGATTCACATTGAGATTACAATCAACTAAAACCTGCAGGTTTCCTGGAGGGTAAATTTTTGCTAAGCTGTATTTCTTCCATTCTCTATCTTTGCAGTTTGTTTTAGAGTGCTCAGTATATATGGTTTAATTATTATACTTATTATATTTCATCTGGATATTTAGATTTAGTCTATATTCTAGAATACCCAAATTCTTTGTGACTGGGTTCTTTCAGCTAATATGTTTCCTTTATCCTCTTATTTTTAACTAAAGTTTTAACAGTATTATCCTATAATTTTATCCAAATCACTAGGAAAACACTGAAATGAGCTATTGTCAAAAGCAAATAATTTCAGCCCACCAAGAGAGGCCTCACGCTTGGCTAGCAACTATCTATTAATCAGCCATTTAAAGGATTTTTTTCATTAGTTACAATTCAATAATTATACTGTATTTTTTATGTTGTCAAAAAGAGGACACGCCATGTTAGGAAAAGCGTCATCAAGATGTTGGCAAAAACCTTCATGTCCTCTATGAAGAGAATGATTTATTATTCTAAAATCCTGGTCATTCTCATTTATAGGACAAGAAAATGCTACATTTTTGCTAGGTGCACTTGGTTATAAGCAGTGAATAAGGAAGACTAAATCATTGCCGTCATGAAGGTTATTTTTCAGTGTGAAAATATACAATAAAAGTAACAAGATAATATAAAATATAATTTGAGGTTGTGATAGACTCTAAAAGAAATAAATATGGCAACATGATATGATAGAACTGCAGGAGTGATGTAAGGGATTGATCTCTGAGGAGATGATATTTGAGCGGAGTCCTCACAAATTGAACATAACAGTTGCTGTCTACACGGCCATCTGGGAAAAGAGCACTGGGAAACGGCCAACTGCAAACTCCCTCAGGTGCAAAGGAGCTTACTGTGTTCTAGAAACAAAGGCCAGTGCACAGAGATCTGAGGATTAAAAAGGAAAATAATATTGGATGGGGCTGGAAGTTAGACAATAGGAAGATCATAAGAGTCCGATTAAGCCCAGTTGGTATGGCACAGTGGCTGAGCATTGACCTGTGAACCTAGGAGGTCATAGTTCATTTCCCAGTCAGGGTACATGACCAGGTTGAGGGCTCAACCCCCAGTAGGGGGCATGCAGGAGGTGGCTGATCAATAGTTCTCTCATCATTGATGTTTCTCTCCCTCACCCTTCCTCTCTCTGAAATCAATAAAAACATATTTTTTAAAAAGAGTCTGATTAAGCCATAAAAATGGTTGCATTTACTATAAATAGCTAAGAAAAGCAATCACTGGGATAAATATATTTATAATTTGACTTTTATATAGAAAGTAGATTAGAGAGACATTAGTACAAACATGGATGCCATATAGGATGACAGTTCTGTTGCCCAGGATAGAGATGATGGTGATATAGGCTAAGGGGTTGAGAGATAAGATGGACAAAAATACATAGATTCAAGATAAACATTTTTGGTAAAATTGATAGGACTTGTTAATGGATTAGATAGAAAAAATTAGCCATTAGATATCATAAAAGCCTAAGCAACCATCCGAGTGTTCAACCATCGGACCGTTAACTATGATGCACACTGACCAGCAGAGGGCAGACGCTCCACGCAGGAGCTCTGAGCTGCAGTGACTTGGCAGCTGCAGTTCTCAGGTGACGCACCCGGAACCAGAGAGGAGGGAGCCTGATCCCGGGGTGCGTCACCCAAGAACTGCCCTCTCATAATCCAGGACCCCTCGAGAGATGTTAGCCAGTTTTGCCCCGATCCCTGCAGGCCAGGCAAAGGGACCCCAGCTGTGCACAAGTCCATGCACCGAGCTTCTAGTTAGAATATAAGGTTCACAAGAGCAAGGGATTTTGTTTGTTTTCTTTACTATTTTTCCCCAGATGCATAAACAGTGCTTACCACAGGCTATATGTTCAATAACCGCTTACTGACTGAATAAAGAAAATCTCTAGGTTTTCCCCCCAAGCAACCAGATGAATGGCCATGCCATTAGTAAAATCGGGAAGACAGAAGCAGCAACAGAATGAGATGGGGATGGAACAACCAGAATTCCATTTTGGCTATTTCAAGTTTTAATTGTCCTCTAGATGTCAAAGTGGAAATGTCAAGGGGAAAACTAGATATTAAAGTCTGGTCATTAGGGAAGTGGGTTATCCTAGAGAGAAAAATTTTGAAGCTTTCAGCATGTAGCCATGTAATTTATTGTAATAAATGATAAAAAAAAAACTAAGGAATCACTGAGAAACATTAAAAAAGATCTGGCATGGAGATACATAAAACATGTTTATCAATGAAAAGATTCAATATCTTAAAGGATACTGAATATCTAAAACAATTTAAAATATTTTTGCAATTTCAATATTCTAACATGTATTTTCATGGAACTAAAAATTATATGAAAGAGCAAAATAAGAACAACAGCAATTTAAAGAAAAAACAAAACAAAGTGAACCAACTTGCATAACAGATAAGATTAGTATAAAACCATAATTAAGACATTGCAATACTGTTGCAAGGATAAAGAAATAGAGTAGTGGAACAGAATACAGAGCGTATTCTAAGACAACATGATTACGATTGCCCTTATGCCTATCTTGATCCATGGCTTCAGGATTACTAATCATCTAAAAATAATTCCCTAAAAATGTATTGCTCTTCAGATTTCAAAAACTCCTGAACTGTAGACAGGAAAACATTTATTGGCTTTTTTCAAACCCATGCCTTCATTTGATAAAAGGGGCAAAACTGTCATTTCTTTCATTCTGTTGGAGGTTTCAGATAAATAATGACTAAGACATGAAATCTGTTGAACAAAACACTGCTTTGATTCAAGCTATACCTTTCTCTCACAAGATTCTGATATGGGCCTTAGGGAATGTTAGGAGAACCATGTGCTCAGTAAAGAACTAGGTGATTAGTAAAGAAGGAACCGTGACCTTAAGACGAGTTATCTTCTGTGTTTAAAATAAATATTTAAATGTCGTTCCATGTGTATAAGAGTCTGAAGCATTGTAGATAATTCTTACAGCTAGTTTAGTGGAAGAGGCAGTAACGTGGTCATACCTGTGGACACAAAGTTTCCAAGTGGTTGGCTGCAATTTTGACAATTTTAATTCCATCTTCATTTGTTGACATGGAACAAGCAAGATTTGCCACCTTAAATACAATCCAAAATATTGAAAATTATTTCAGATTATCAAGAAAATGCAGAAATATTTGTTTTCCTAGAGAATTAAGCACATGTACCCATACATTGAAAGTCTCAGTAACAGACATTAGCATTCTCACAAATGTCCGTGGTATCTGTTTTATGAAAGTATCCTGAGAATCTATTACAGCAAATAACAACAAAGGTCCCTATAAAATTATTTAAAACAAAAGAAATAACTAGTGAGTGAATCAGTAAACCCTGTATAGTCTCTTGGTATCAACATCTAATTCACAATAAGATACCAAGTATTATGGTTTCCTATGGGGCTGAAAAAATTTCTATCTGTGGATTTAATGCTAATAAGTTCTTGGAATCTCATATGATTGTGGTTTATTTTAAGTTTGTAATTAGTTTATTATTTCCCAGAGATTTCTTATGTCTACTTAAGTTGCATTAAGAATGACTGTATCTTTATTCATGTTTTATTCGGCATAAACTATACTACAAAGCTGGACAAATACAAGATAATTAAATTCTTCTTCCTGTTCTTGATTTTCTACTACAACCGCGTGGGCACTGTTTGGCATCCCAGAAGTCCATTTGATCCAAGCATTAGTGACACTAAAATTCCTTTATACGATATTGCTTTTGAAACTTATGCTCTCCCAGTGAAGACGCTGCTCTCTCAAATAAGTACCTTTATGTCCATTACCTAAGTCCAATATTCACCACTACTTTCTTTACACCACTAAAGAGCCATGAGAGCCCTAGCCAGTTTGGCTAAGTGGATAGAGCGTCAGCCTGCGGACTGAAGGGTCCCAGGTTCAATTACCCTCAAGGGCACATGCCTGGGTTGAGGGCTCAATCCCCAGTGGGGGCGTGTAGGAGACAGCCAATCAGTGATTCTCTCTCATCATTGATGTTTCTATCTCTCTCTCCCTCTTCCTTCCTCTCTGAAATAAAAAAAAATATATATTTTTTTAAAAAAGAAAGAGCCACAAAAAAGAGCATGAGATTCTTTTCCCTTCCTTTGAGCCTCAGTTATTCACCATTCCTCTTGGTAGCAGGTGATTATTTGTGTAGAGGGGTAGTGTTTCCCCAACCTACAAAATGCATCATTGTCTTCATCACTGCAAAGAGTTTGCTTTTCCAACAATCATTTTCCAGCATTATATACTTGAGTACATTGCAGTTTTTATTGCTCAAATCCAAAATACGTTTAGTTGTGGAGAAACCACACATGAAATGCATGCAATGGGAGCAAACAACGAACATATCTTCGGATCACTAGTTGAAGAATATCACCAATGTTATGAAAATGGATTTATAGCCTTTGTTTTCAATAGCATTTCTTTTAACATGTCAACAGTGAAACCACTCCTTGCTTTCCATTTACATACAATGAAATAACAGCTATACATTATTTAAGTGTGGAAGGGCATTATTCACTTTATTAATGTACATGGAATGGCTTACTTGAAAAGGTCTTTTGTTGGCTTGAAGGTCACAATGCCTCAGCTTTCAAATCTGACACATAATTAGCACATTTGTGAATTATTTGAAAAGGGCAGCAGCTTCGGTACCCCTCTCCCCAGACCCCAGGATCCACTCACAGAAAGTGAAATTCAGTCATCTAATTGCTTTAATATGTCTAGGATAATTTGCACTGCATTTGCAGAAAATATCTATCCATAAATTTGAGCACTGTTTAAGTAAAAGAGAAAAAATTATTAGCTCAATCTTTTGGCCAAATCAGAAAAATGCTGGTTAATCCTAAATTTAAAATTTACAAAAAAGTGCCCCATCTAGTGTCTCTCTCTCTCTCTCCCCTCCCTTCCTTCCTTCCTTCCTTCCTTCCTTCCTTCCTTCCTTCCTTCCTTCCTTCCATGTATCATCTTTCTCTTTTTCCCATTTAAAAATAGACATCTTGTTCTGAACATTTCTTGTTCTGAACATTTCTTGGCACCATGTTTGTTATAAGCCAATCCAGTGACATGGAAACTACCCTAAGCAGAGAGTTTCTGTTCATATGAGCAGACTTAGCTTTTTAAATGTAAAATAAAATTAATTTTTATCATTAATTTCTGGAACTTCTTTTTTATTGAGTTTATTGAGGTGACATTGGTTAATAAAATTATATAGACTTCAGGTATAATTCTACAATATTATCATCTGTATATTATATTATGTGTTTACCTGTGGGATCGGGCCTAAACCAGCAGTCGGACATCCCTCTCACAATCCGGGACTGCTGGCTCCCATCCGCTTGCCTGCCTGCCTGCTTGCCTGCCTGATTGCCCCTAACTGCTTCTGCCTGCCAGCCTGATCACCCCTAACCACTCCCCTGCCAGCCTGATCAACATCTAACTGCTCCCCTGACAACCCGATAGCCCCCAACTGCCCTCCCCTACAGGCCTGGTCGCCCCCAACTGCCCTCCCTTGCTGACCTGGTCACCCCTGACTGCCCTCCCCTGCTGGCCTGATCGCCCCCAACTGCCCTCCCCTGCTGGCCATCTTGTGGCTGTGGGCACCACCATCTTTGAGGGTGGGCAGTCAATTAGCATATTCCTTCCTTATTGGCTGTAGGCGTTGCCATCTTTGCGAAGGTGTGAGGGTCAATTAGCATATTCTCTCTTTATTAGATAGGATAGCAATCTCTTACATCATGAAACAAAACCCCCAAATCTCATTCTGCAGGGTCAATCATTTCCTACTCTTTCAACTATTCTGATTGCTTGCCTCAATATTTCCATAAAGTATACTTATACAACTATATTTGTAATTTTAAATTTTGTCAGGTACTTCAATATAATTAATTTATGTCCTATATCCACCCTCCATGTTATAAAAGAAAGTTAAATGGCTCTAATGTTAGCACCATTGTTGCTTGGGTATTCCATCACTTAAATTCATAATCAATCATTCTTTTTCTTGTTTTTAGTAGCAAAGCAAAGTTGAACTGAATTAAAATTGTTGTAAACTTCATATACCTCTGGCAAGAAGAGTTAATGGGAAAAACATTGAGAAAGGGTTTCTGCCTTTGTCATCAGATCTCTTTGTCTTTTTTTCCCTTTTTAAAAATTATTTTATTTTTCTATTATGGTTTGCATTTAATACTATTTTGTGTTAGTTTCAGGTGTACAGAGCAGTGGATAGACATTCATATAGGTTACAACATGTTTCCTCTGATAATTCAAGTCCCCACCTGGTACCATAGATAGCTATTACAATATTGTTAACTTTATTCCCTATAGCAGACTTAAGTTTTACAAAATTCTCAGTTAAAAATGCAGCACAACTAAATGTTTTCCACTCAATTAATGACCACATTAATATTCTGTCTTCTTTTGTTCAGAAATACCTGAACTTTTCTTTACCAGAACTGTTATGTTAGGGAAACTTTCTAGATAAATCAAGTAGTGCTATTTCCAGATTAAGGAACATGGAGTTGTAGTAATATTTTATACCGATTAAAATTTATAAGGGAGCTAGTATTCTGTGAAGGAAAAAAAATTACGTGATAGAAATAAAATCTCTTTACAGTTCTAATTTGAGTGATCTGTGACATATTTTCCAAAGTCACATCAATGTGTAAATCAAAGCCAAATTTCCTCCAATAATAATTATTCCTAATTTTTATGGGGCTCTTCTGGCAGTCAAGTATGTTTCAAAGCACAGCATGAAGGCAATTCCCTACTAGTCAAAGAAACCACCATGCAAATAAAGTATTTAGTGAAATAGTTTAAGATATTTTTAAGACATCTGACATCTTTGATATATCTAACTTTGACAATGTTTCAAAAGTCTGCGTCTAACCTTCATTATTCAAGAGATACTTGTGGAAAGTTTCTACCCAATTAGGAAAATTAGGGCATTGGAATGTTTTAGAGATAAACAGATCTAGGTTTGAACCTAATTCCCACAATTAATAAGCTTTCTGACCACGGACAAGATCTTAACTTCTCTAAGCCTGTTTTGTCATCTGTAAAATGGATATGGTAATACGCACTTCACGGGGAGCTGTGATGATTAAAGGAGATACTGTACAGAGAGGGCCTGATACCTGCTAGCCCTGACTATGTATGTATCTCCTTTCAGCTCATCTATCTCTCTACTAATTAAGGTTGGACAAGAACATTGAGTCTCTCAAAAGGTTTTATGAATTACAACCTTAGAAGCCTAAAGAACTTAACAAAAGGTCTAACCCTAGACCTAAATGTTTTTAGGACTCATGCAGGGAATACATGTAACTCAGTGGTTGGGGTGGGGTTGTGGGTCCTCGTCTGTGTGCATGCTCTACCTACAGGCATTACAGATCATTAAAACAAGAAGAAATAAAAGGTAAAACTTAACTGCCTTATCAAAATAACAGTCTGTTGGCTTGCTTTAGTTCATAGGATACCAGTTTGTGACCTCTTACCCCATTCTGTAATTTTCTATTGTATGAATAGAAGAAAAAAGTTAAACAGGGAGAAGAAATATACTCAAACCAATCAGTAACCGGGAGACTATTAACCAGGGAAAGGTGTGCTCTTTATGCCACCCTGAATTAAAGTAGTCACAAAGGTCCCCTCCATTGAAATGATGGACCAGACTTTTTATTGATATTGTGCCATATCTTTATCTAAATTCAAGAAAAGCAGAGTCCCTTCTTTATCAAAAAGAAAAGTTCCTACTCATCTATAATATGAGCATAAAGGTAAGTATCTATTTTTTAATTGACTACAGTGCATTCTTTATTCAGATTTATACTTTAAGTTTTGAATGAAGAATACGTGAGAAAAGAAAGCTCTTGAGTCCAGGGTTAATTTCTGTCTGACTATACATGTTTATTGGGAACATCCAAATCTGACAAATCTGTAGCAAAGAAACAAATGAACATAGGCAAACTCTGAGTAAGGGTATTGAGCAATATAGCTGACATCCGTTCTTTCTTTTTAACTTGGTGTTTGAGAAGGAGACAGATTTCTTTCTGAATTTGGAAAAGGACAAGGATTCACAAAAT